AAGTGTTCTCAGCTCCTGGAGTAGTCCAAGAAGTAGCGAAAGTATTCATTTACATTAGATTTCAATACATTCAAGGATGTTATAATCTACCGTAACCAATAATAAAAAATATATATATATATATATATACTTATTAGACTAATGGAGTCCTGATGTGGCACTGCAGGGTCGTGCACTTGACCACAAGGGCAGTTTGAACCACATGGTCAGTGGTTCAAACCCATCAGCTGCTCCTCGGAAACCCTATACTGGTTCACTATGGATCAGAACTGACTTGATTTCACTTAACAACAACTGACTAATAGAGTCAAACAATGAAAAGGTAAAAAAGGGGCAGAAGTGGGGGACAATTAGAAAGCAAATATTAACATGGTAAATTTAAGCACAAATGTATCAGCAATACATTAAACATAAATGTATTAAGTTTACATTTAATGTATTTGCTCATATATTTTCACTGAAATAACAAAAACTGGATTTTAAAAGAACTCTAAAACCTATCTGCCTACAAGCAGGACACCTTAACAGAAACATGCAGTTATGTAGAAAGTAAAAAGATGAAAAAACTATACTGTGTAATCATAACCAAAAGGAAGCTAATTTATCAAAGTGAATTTTAAGGCCAAACTCTACTTGAGATATAAGAGGAACACTTCATAACAACAAAAGGGTCAACCTACCAGGGAGTTACCATTCTAAATGTATAAGCAAAACTTTATAGAAGTGTATTGAAAACATGTTCAAACAAAAACTTGTGTAAGAATATTCGTAGCAGCACTATTCGTTATAGGCAAAAAGTAGAAACACCTCAAATATCTATCAACCAATGCACATGTAAACAAAATATGCCACATTCATACAACGGAACATACTTCACCATAAAAAGGTGTGAAATATTGGCGCATACTACATGGATGAATCTTGGAAACATGCAAGTGAAAGCCAGACTTAAAAAGCCATATATAGTAAGGTTCCAAGTATATCAAATGTCTAAAATGAGAAAATCCACAGACAGAAAGTGAATGAATTGTTGTGAGGGGTAAGGGAGAAGGGAAAAAGGGATGTAACTGCTAATAAGCACAGGGCTTAATTTTGGGGTGATAAAAATATTCCAGAATTAGATAGTCATGTTGGTTACATAACTTTGTGAATATACTAAAATCCATTGAATTTCACACTCCTGAAATGGCACTGTGAGATAAGCACGAACTGCAAGGTTGGTTTGAACCATAGGACCAGTAGTTCAAACTCACCAGCCGTTTCTTGGAAACCCTATACAGGGTTTCTATGAGTCAGAACCAACTCGACGGCACTTAACAACAACAAACAAAGGATGCATTTTATAGTATGTGAATTCTAGCTCCCTTTTTCTCACAAACTTGTCAGATGTGAAAGGAGAAACAGAGAATCTATAATCATAGAAGTATTTCTTTAGCACCAAGAGAGAAGCAAATTAAAATCAGTAAGAAAAGATTTGAGCAACACATCTAAAAACTTGAGCTAATTGACAGAGCAGATACAGCACCCAACTGCCAAAGAAAAGCTGCCTTTTTATTGAGTGCTTACTACAGACCAGGCCTGGGCTTTGAATGCCCCTTGGCTGCCTCTGCCCTCTTAAGAGACAAGAAAATAGACACAAGAAGGTCAAGAATCTGGCCCCAAATCAACAGATTGCTCTTAACCTCCCTGTAGTACCGCCCTCCCAGTAGAAGGTCAGAGCAACAGGACTAGCATCTCTGTTCACTTACAATATGCCCCACAGTAACTGGGGCTAGAGTAACTGAGTTCGGACGCAGACTGAATGAACAACAAACTGTTAATGATCCACTACATCAACAAAAATATCATCACCCACCTACTTCATATAAGACATGGGATGAGAAAATAAAAATTGTAACAACTCAAGTGAGCTCTTTGCTATGTTGTAAGCACTTTAATTCATGGTCACATTTTTACTCCTTAGGACATCTCACTAGATTCTCTTACTCCCATTCTACAGATGAGGAGCCGAGGCCCAAGAATGGGAAGTGATTTCTCCAACATTATGCTTGCTGCTCTGAAGAGGCAGAACCCCGAGCTCAGTAGCTCTGACTCCTCCTTTCAATGCCACTTCATGCCATTCTCCTCATCTTCACCGTCGTGACCCCTATCATTAGCACCGAGCTTTAACACTTAAGAATGTCGGTTAATGAAACTGTTCAGCAGGATACTGTAGTGGTGGACGTATGTCATTATACATCTGTCATAACTCACAGGACAGGACAACTTACATGGTGAATGCTAAAGAACACTACAGACTTCAAGTAATAATAATGCATCCATATTGGTTCAAATGTTAACAAATGTACCACAGGAAGGCAAGACGTTAGTAATGGGAGAAACAGCATGCAGGGGGTGGAGGGGGGTTGTGTGGGAACTCTGCACTTTCTGCACAATTTTCCCATAAACCTAAAACAACACTAAAAAACAAAATCTATTTTTTAAAAGAACAAGAAATTTAGAGTATGTCACATACAGTACCTGGTCCTCATGAGTAGGTAAAGTATAGATCACAAGGATTTTACAAATGAAGAAACAGCTGTTTCATCCAAGCTGCCCTGGATGCCCACCCACCGGGCAAGACCATCAGAACTTCTGATGGAGGAAAAGTCTAGACTCTTGTTTGCAGTTGACTTTCACTCATAGCATCCCCTTGTGATAAAGGACTGTCCCATACAGCTTCCTAGGCTATAGTCTTATGGAAGCAGGTCATTAGTCTTTCTCCTATGGAGCCACTGGGTAGATTTGAACTACCAACCCTTTGGTTTGCAACTGAGTGCTTAACTGTTGCACAACCAGAACTCTTCAGGGTTCTTTAAACAGACTTTAAAATGGAAAAGCTCTTGTTTTATCATTTAGCAAACGTTTTTATTCCCTTTCATTATTATACTTGTTGTTAAGTGCCATTAAGTCAGTTCTGACTCAGAGACCCTGTATAGGATTTTTGAGGAGTGGTTGGTGAGTTTGAGCTGCCAAACTTGAGGTTAGCAGTCCAGTGCTTATCCAAAAGTGACACACCTTTATATTATACTTACTGGAGTTTTATTTCAATGGTAAGTATGAACTTATAGTGATCACATTCGCTGACATTTCCTGAGTCACACCAGAAAGACAGGGGTGGCTGCCATGAATGAATTTTCATTTATTAAATTGCCCTCCAACTAGGCTGAAGATACATTCCTGAAACAACAGTCATTTCCCAGGGCTGCTCTACACAAATAACCCTTCTCTTCTGACACAGAGAACATGGATAGCCAGACTCATCTCCTACAGCACACATCTCCTAATTCACTGCCTTTCATTTTCATCAGATCCATTTTTATAAAGCAAACTGACTTAGGTTAGGTGGCTTGGCCAAGGTCACACAGCTAGGAAGCAGCTGACCTGGGACAAAAATCCTAATAGCTCGCCAGTATTCCATCCAAAGACACATCTGGCCTGGGACACTTCAGCCATATGACCTTTCTGCAAATAACAGGCAGATTAGAGGACAGGAGTGAGCTGAACAACCTAGAATTTTCTAAAACTTTGATCCCAGAAGGACCTTAAGAATCATCTAATCCACCACCCCACTGTACAGACAGGTAAGCTGACGCCCAGTAAAAGGAAGCAACTTGTCAGAAGTTACACTGCTAACAAGTGGAAAACACAGGCCTATGCCAAGCTCATCACTCAAGTGAGTCTGGAGAGCAATTTGCAAAAGCTGTTTTGAGGATGCCAAAGCAATCAATTCACAAGATACATTTTTCTTTAGTAGGACCTGGCCATGCACAAAAAGGATAAGATGCAATTTGTCCTTGGGGAGTTTACAGGTATGTGCGATCACATATAACAGCAGTACAAGCAGCAGGTGCATCAAGAATTTAAAGGTGGCAGACAGCAGCAGTGTTGGAAAGCTTCCTGGATGAGAGGTGGTTAAAGATGGGCATTGCAGTATGCACAGGAGTCCAACCAGCGGAAAGGACTAAATATGTCAGTCAAGGAAAGAGTTTCAAGTTGTAACAGAGTTTTATGGAGAATTAAGTCAAAAGAGCAGAGGAAAGGCAGCTCTTGTGCGCTAAAGAATCGTCAAATGCCAGGAGAAGGCTTTGAAACTTGGAAGGTGGAGCCATCGGTCTCAGATTTGTTCAGGAGCAGAGCATAAGGACCTCCCGGGTCTTCACAGAACTCCAGGAGCAACTGGGTACGCTGCATTCCACTGCTCCCCAAGACAATGTTACGGCCACCAAACTCAAATGCTGTTCTAGGTCTGCAATATAAAATCAGAACCACACACAAAAGAGTTCTCAAATCAAACAGGATCAGTGCAGTGTTCTCTGAAAATTCCTGAGAAATCATCAGCCATTTGTTTGTCTCCTGCAAGCAAGTGTGTTAGTTGTAAAAAGCACAGGTGGCACTCTTTCTGATAAAATAATGGGGACGAAAACCTTAGAAATGGAGAAAATTCTGAGAATTTATTTCTTTGCTTGTGATTGGGAAGAGGCAAGTTTATCATTTTAGAAATCTGAGGCAATGCCATAAACCAAACTACCCTGATGAGCCTGTTTCCTCTTCTGAGTGGACGAGACCATGATCTGTGACCACACTTTGGCCATCTTCACATGTCTTGCACCCACGGCCCTGTCACCCATGTCCATTGAAGCTCAGAGGGTAGCTTGAAGTGGGACCAGCTCAGCAGCCATCAGCATCTTGAAAGGCCAGGGGATGCTGAGAAGTCATTTTTCTGCAGGGTTCTAGACAGGAGCATTGCTTTGTGGACCTTCACTGACGGCTTTCCGATGACCCCAGGGGCTCTCTCCTCACCTCAGGCTCACTGTCCAGCAATCATCTTGGACTCCTGAGGCCTTCCTCACTTCTCACCTTCAGTCTTGGAGGAAGACGAATACCTTTATCTCTGAACACAAGAAACTCTAAGACCAAATAGGATCAATCTTTTCCACATATTCCAGTTTAGACCAGGGTCACCTGGCCAGGAACGGGCAGCACCCTGTGCCCAAGATGTGGGTTTCTATGAGCTGGCAGGGGCATGGAGACTTCACAGAGTCTGTGTGTCGTGTCCCCGCTGCCTGGGGGAGTTGAGAGGTCACCAGGAGCCGGATGTAGTAGCCACCAAACACCGCCAGCAACTGTCGAGCCATTTCCTAGAGGGAGGAGGGAAACAGTGAGAGTCAGAGAGAGGCAACTTGAGGGGAAGGGCGCTAATACATGAGAGGAAAACCCCCACTTTTCACCAATCTGAAAGTGGGGCTCCCTGGGAAGAAACACATCAGCACCTGGAGCCTCTGGAAGATTTCTGGTCAGGTCTAGTTCCAGCTCTGCAACCCACTCACTACAACAGTCCCAGTTTCCTCATCCCCCAAGTGCTGATAGGTAGATGAAGATAATGTGCACAAAAGAGTTATGTTACCACAAAGCACTAGCAAAATGCATCGCTGACTGACACCTAGACACTTGCAGACACACACTTTTTCCAGCTTCCAACACTTGTCACTCTGATTCATGACAAGCTGGGGTAAAACAGAACTAAACAGTCAGGGCCTGTATCCATCTTCACAATCTGGAGTATGTCTCCACCCACTGCTGCCGCCACTGTGCCAGTCTATCCCGTGGAGGGCTCCCCTCATATCTGTTGATCCTCTACTTTACCAAACATGATAGAAGTCTGTAATACTCATGAGGGCAAAGTAACTCACTTGAAGAAATTCACTACAGGAAAAGTATAAAAGGAGTTGTGCAATATAATATTCCCATTATAGCAAAATCTACAGTGCATACAAGGTACTTGGTAGGTTTCCTTTAGGCAGCAAATACTCTTCAGATATTAAGAGTTTGCTTGTAAACATTGGATTTAATCCACATTCTTATTTATTAATACTTTTGGCCCCTACTGGAAAGTTCACTAGCCAAGCAGCTGGAATTACAGACATACCTCGGAAATATTGATGGTTCTGTTCCAAATCACCACAATCAAGAAAAGAGTGCAAGAAAGAGAGTCACACAGATTTTGTGATTTCCTAGTACATATGAAGGAGTCCTGATGTGGCACTGTGGGTTAATGCACCGGACTGCAAGGTCAGTCTGAAAAGCAAGGTTGGCAGTTCAAGCTCCCAGCCGCTCCTTGGAAACCCTGTACAAGGGTCGCTATGGGTTGGAACCGACTCAACAGCACTTAGTAAACACAACAACAGAACATATAAAAGGAGTACTGGTGGCTCTGTAGGATAAGTAGCAGTTCAAACCACCCAGCTGCTTCGTGGAAGAAAAATGAGGCTTTCTGCTCCCATAAAAGTTTACATTTACAGCCTCAGAAACCCTGTACAGAGTACAGACAAGAACCTGTGGGTAAGAATTGACTCAACAACACTTCACAACAAGAAGTGCATAAAGAAGTTATGTTTATATCACAACAAAGTCTATTAGAGAGCACAGTGGTTCCACAAGATAAGCATGAGACTATAAACCACAAGGTCAGTGGTTCAAGTCCGCCAGCTTCTCCTTGGGAGAAAGATAAGGCTTTCTGCTCCAGCAAATATTTAAAAAGTCTCGGAAAACCTATACAGGATCACTGTGAACTGGAACCAACTAGGAAGCAATTGGGCTGTCGAGTCGATTCCAACCCATAGTGGCCCTTAATAGGGCTTCCAAGGATCAGCTGGTGAGCTTGAACCACTGACCTTGCCGTTCAAACGACTTTGCAGTTGGACGCATTAGTCCACAGTGCCACACCTAGCATCATAGAAAAGTCTGAAATACTGAGAGGTTTATCTCACAGGAAGTGAGAACATGCTGTGGAAAAAAAAATGGAGCCGAGAGACTTGCTCAACACAGGGTTGCCACAAAGCATCAATATGTAAAACAATGCAATTATCGGTGCAGTTCAATAAAGCAAAGCGCAACAAAACGTGGCATGCCAGCCAGGGAAACACACAGACTCTCCAAGGTGGGCATGCCACCCAGGGAAACACACAGACTCTCCAAGGTGGACTGAAGGGCTTCCCAGGTACCCATAAGAGGTGGGTGGCATCAAGGCCACCTCTGGCTGGAGGGTGAGGAATCAAGACCAAGGCAGAAGGGAAGTTAAACACAGCTGCTTACTCTCTGAGTGCTGGCAAGTGACTTCACCTTGCTAAGCCTGTTTGTTCATTGGTAAAAAGAGGGGCAATAATAGATCCACCTGGGTGAACTGGAGTGAGAGTAAAGGCACTAATGGGCCTTGCTAAGTGCTATGGAGTCATAATGACCCTATGTAACATTTCCGGGAAGTTCAAACCAACCTTACAGTTGGTCCAGTGCTTATCCTACAGTGCCACGTCAGTGCCACACCAGGACTCCTTGCCTAGTGCTTCTGAAATACGACCTACATCAGTATCATTATCATTGCAATGCAAAGCAGAAATACCACTTGATTCAGTGGGATTAGCTTTTCATTTGAATTATCCTTGTGCTAGAAAATAATAAAAATTTTCAATATTTTACTACTCACTAACTCATGAGTTTTCTTGCTAATTTACTCTAAAATCCATAATGTAAGGAGCAGAGAACTGTGGCAAGAAAATGGCCTACTTAGAATCAATACGCCTGGGCTTCTGTCCTTGGCTTTGCCATGCTCACTGTTGTTCTATGACCTTAGGCAAGTCAGCTGGTCTCTTGGAACCTTATTTTGCTCATCAGGGAAGGAGAGGAAATAATCCATACCTCAGAGGGTATGCTATAGAGTTCTCTAAATGATGAACATTTGTAAAACTGCTTAGCAGTTATTATAACTCTGCCTTTCATGCTGAGACTTGGCCATTGATTTGCTTTTTCCTAGCTAAATTTTAAGGGCAGCTACTTTAAAAACATGGGCACACACAGAGACAGGAAATTATATCACTATAGGTTTGGATGAATTTGAAAAACTGACTTAAAAGACCTGTCAGTAATGGGCTATTTCACATAAACCTAAATATGTATGTCACAGTAAACTCCACTACCTTATTAATTTTTTCTGCTCTTTAAGAACAGTCAGTGGAATTCAACTGAAGAGCTTAATAAATTTTACCATTTTCTCTTTTAAACAGTCCTATCTGCTACCCTCCACTTTCCACCATCAGTGCAAAAGGAACAGTCTGGGTTCATTTGAACCTTCAGTCCCCAAACCACTTTGCTGAGAAGAAAATGCAAGTGTCTCCTGAACCACAGCAGATCTCAGGTCACCCGTGCTTTGTATCTCCCTGAGAGTGGGTCTGTCCCCAGAGTGAGTAAGAGGTCATACAAGTTGCAAATCACGTCATCAGATTTCTGGTCTTCCAGCACCTGGTCATACCCAACAGGGAGTTTGGATGGTAGCACTCAACAGGCCTCAGGGGCTGGAAGGACTGAAATCCAACAGAGATGCATGGAAGATTCAAATATCCAACTGCCATTCTAGAAGACTGGATGGGTAAACAGATGATTGACAGACAGACAGATGGAAAAACAGACAGTTCTTGGTTAAGTAGGTTATGATCTATCAAGCATACAGCTATCAAAATAATATCCATGATTAAAAACAACAGTAAATATAAAATGATTCCTATAAAACTATTTAAACATGCTAAGGTGAAAAACAAAGATGGACGACTACCAACTCAAGAGAAGCCATGTCCACAAGAATCTAGAACTGAGGTTCCCACATGAGAGAACAGCACTGATTGGCTGCAGAGCCCATTACCTCCGGTTCACCCTCAGGAACAAGCTGACGGAATTCAGTCTGCAAGAGTGGTCTCTCCGTGGGACGAGGGCTACTGGGCAGGAGAGGAGCTTCCTCCACCAGGTTCTCCGGCCCCTCCACCACCCTGGGGGTCACCCCAGTCTCCATGACAACGCATAATTGGCTCAATCTGTTTCTCAACAAGGACTGCAAAGGAACCAGAGAGGGGTCTTGAGTTGTGTCCCACCAAGTCTCTCCCAGCGGGACAAACCCATCTACAGATTCAGATGCTAGAAGTGGCCCCAGATGGTGATGTCCCATCAGTCCCTACAAGAATACAATTCTTAATAGCTTCTAGAGCACTTTCTATTACATGCTTTAATTTGTTCCTCAGAGCAGCCTTCCATGTGGGTATCTTCATTCATCTGTTGCAGATGTATAAACAGATTGAGAGGTCTTGCCTAAGGTCTCACAGGAACTAAAGGGTCAGAACTAAGGCTTAACCACAATCACAACTACAAAACCCAACTGCAGGGTTTCCAGGCCCCAGGGGAAGGGTGATCTTAGGGAAGGATCCCAGGACTCAGAGACAAAAGGACTGGCATCACCCACCAGCTCTGTGACCCCTGGATTTTCCAGAGCTTCAGCTTCCTTCAAGGAGCTCTGGTAGCGTAGTGGTTACGAATCAGGCTGTTAACCTCAAGGTCAGCAGTTCGAAACTACCAGCCATTCCACAGGAGAAAGATGAGGCTTTCTGCTCCTGTAAAGATTTACAGCCTTGGGAACCCTGTACTATGAGTCACTATGAGTCAGAACCGACTCCATGGTACTTAACAACAACAACAACAACTTCCTTCATCTGTAAAATCAGAGCAAAACCTCCAACAAATGGCAGAATTTCTTCATAAAAGGTAGGAAGGTGCCTTGAACAAATGAGTATTAACTAAATGTATGGTACTGTCTTACCAGGAGTTTTATTATTACTGATTATAAAGAAATACTCGCTCATGTATGTTCACTATTGGACATGTAGAATATGTTTAGCAAAAAAAGAAAAGAAAAATCTCCACTGATCCCACATGGGTATTCTTCCTGCCCAGAAACTTCTTAGATATTTTCCCAACAATGAGGTAATGTGATTTATAAAATTTGGCCTCCTGTTTTTTGGTGTTAGAAGTTTGGTTTTGTGTTCACTTACAGGATAATGCAAGGTCAGTTTGAGCTGCATGGCCAGTGGTACATACCCACTAGCTGCTCCTCAGAAACCCTCTGCAGGGTGACTATGAGTCAGAACCAACTCGACAGCACGTTAACAAGAAGAAGATACCTTACCTCTTGGCTAGTCTTCATTTCTTGAACATGGTCAGACAAAAACTGCACGCAGTTCTCCAAGTCGAAGTAGACAAACCAGAGCTGGGAAGATGAGAAATCACGATGCATGGCTCAGAGGCAGTCCTCAACTCAACTTCCCTGAGGCCCACCCCCATTTGGTTTGCTTACAAACACTGAATTTAACGCATATTCTTATCAACAAACTTGGCAACTAAAGTAAGGTTCAGTACGAGAAGCTAGAATTACAGAGGCATTCATCTATCCCTGAAGGCTGGACTAGAGGACTTTCCCAAGGATTTTCTGAGTTGAGACAGCAACACCCATTTTACGTTGTTCTCTGGCAGGAACATGCCCCTGTTCCCTCACAGAGTACCACACTTGGCCTAAGTCTCATCCATAGGGCTCGTAAACAAATAAATGGCTTGGGATTCAGATTTGAGAATTGCTCAACTGGCTATGGGAGGCCTCACATCTCCCACAAGTCAGTAAGCCACCCAGACAGACTCCAAGCCCTTCCTGGACACCATGTATCCATATCAGGGTATCCCCTTAATCTTTGGTGGCAGAGGTGTTCTTCAGTCTGGGACTCAAACACCAAGATGAGTGAAACCCTTCAGCACTGTCACCCTCCCTGCCCATGGCCAGTTAGAGGTGCCAGACATGGGTGCTTTGGGGGGCTGGGGAAGAGGCATTGGTGAAGTTCTCACACCCATCCTCCACCTCAATTTCAGTTGGTCCTCCACACTCACACACTACGTCATTCTGGGCTTCACCTGCCACAAACATGACAAAGCTCTGAAAGAAACACCTCTGTCCATTAACTGCCTCCAGACCCCTGGCCTCCCTCCTCCCGGAGATGCAAGGTCACATCCTTCTTGCCAACTAGTGTCTCTCCCACCATCTCACCTCCAAAAGGCTATTTTTTTCATGTGTTTTCTTTTTAACATTTTTATTATGCATTTGTCCAAAAATAGAGCAAATGAAGTCATTACGTCTCAGCTGCTTGTCATTCTGCCTCAGCAGTTTATCGCCCATGGGCTCCACTAAGTTCATCTCTACCTCACCGAGGATACATCCCCATCACCTGGCCACCCACCACCAAAGGTTCTGAAGAAAATCCTAAACATTGTATCGCTTCATCTCAAGACAGTATAATGAAACTACAAGAACCTGAATGCTTTAATAGATATGCTCACTCATGCCATCACCCACCATGCATGCATCCAACTCACAGCACCCTAGTCACTCCTGTGTGCCATTTTATAGACAGGATTCAAAGATAAGGGAGGCTGAAAAGGGCCTCTGGACATCAAGGCTCCCAGCCTAGCATGGCACACCTGAGCTGCAGAAATCTGGTGAGCCCTCTAGTTTACCACCTGGTGCCAGGCAAGATGGCCCTTGTGCCCTATGCTGTCCCAATGAGAGACACACCATGAACAAAAGGCTCTATCTGTGGGTTTGTGCTTGGCTGGAACCTACGTCTTGAACAGTGGCTGGCCCACAGCAGGCCCTCCATAACTAAGTTGGAGTGAGTCAGTCACGTGCATGAGGAGTTTCTTCCCAAACGTCCAAACCTGAGTTCCCACTAGGAGAGGCCAATGACCAGTGACAGTACAGATGTGCTGTGTGGACAGGCTGTGCAGCCCTCCCAGCACAGTGGTGAGTGAGCAGAGGACATCAAGGATCAAACAAAGATGGACCAGGGTCCATCTAACCCCAGTTGTGTCTCAGATCACCGTGTAGCCTTGAACTAGTCACTAAAGAGCTCCTCCCTACCTTCAGGGCAAAGACAACTAGTGAGCCAGGTAGACATGGCCTTTGGGATCTGACCTGCCTCTTCAGTCTCCTTTTTCCTGCTGTGTCATCCTCCCTGACTCTTCAGCCACCGTGAGCTTGTGGTACCTTGAATTTATTAGATAAGGCTTTTCTGTCCAACATCTTAATTCCAACGAAGTGACTGGATGGGACCATCCAAGTAAGGTGTACAGGACTCTAAGGCCGGGATGGGTTAGTTGTGCCCTCCTGCTAGGTTTAAAAGGAGCCCTCTCAGAAGCAGGAATAGATGATGATTTCAGGACCATGAAGAGTCATTCCTGACAAGAACTGCTCTGTCCTGAGTTGGTTCTGGTCCTGAATTGCGCCCTATTCACTTCTATAATAAACCCCATACTCTGGAGTATGCTTATGAGTTCTGTGTGGCAACTGCAATGGATTATCAAACCCAGATGTGAAGTAGAGAGTGCTAAGGGAGGGATGGTTGGTGTCAGAATAGTATTAAAAAAAAGTAGGGTAGAGACATGTAGGACCTCCACGTCAAAGGAATTGGCCTTGGACAGATTTTGAGTTTGATTTTCCTGTCCCCTTGTGAAGCCAGAAGAAGTGAGACATGGCCTCCACAGTTTTTGCAGAGCTCCTCACAGTTCCTTAGAAGCATCTTTATCTTGCCTATTCCCCGGTATGAAACCACAGAGGTTACTGTTCATGGTCTGTGATAAGTCCCCCTCAGAAGTCTGTGGGCTTCTCCAGGACAGGGACCTTGCCAGGGCCCCACGGTATCCTCAGTACCCGAGACAAGGATCACACTGCTTAGGGGACACTGAGCTTCTGGTAAGGATGATGGTATATTTGGGAACAACATGATGAACACAATTGTCTCTGGATTGTATACATGAAGACCGTTGAAATGTCATATTGTCTTGCTACATTTATATTTACCACACACAAAAAAGTGACTAACAACAACAAACAAACAACACAGATGTCAACCCAGAGGAAGCCCCTTCTACTTGCTGAATTGTTGAATAACGAGTGTTGACTCAGATGGTGCCCAAGCTTCCTCTCCTGCCCCGCCACGTGGAGGTTCTGCAGTGCTGGTTACCACACAAAGAGGGGTCTCAAGGAAGAAACAGTGGAGAGGGAAGGAGGGAGGGGCTGCCAGTCATCTCAACAGACTCCTGGAGATGCCATACAAATGAACATGAGGCCTCCTCTCCCCATTAGCCTGGATCAAAAGGAGCCCTTTAAGGACAAGTGATTCTGAGACACAGTACCTGGATCACGCTCTGACAGCCTTCCACCGTGTCTGTAACCCCTAGTAGCACACGGTGTCTCAGGAGGGCTCCGTTCGCAGCTGCCAGCCTGAGGTCCGTGTTGGTGTTAGCCTAAAAAGCAAACAACCCAGTCCCGTGGCCGGACGTCCCTGCGGCCAGGGATGCTATGTGATGCAGGAAGGATCCTAATAGTAAGAATGACAAGGAGGTGAGGAACTTCATGGTCCTGTATGACAGGGGATCCAGGGACACAGAACACCTTGAACTGAGACCGAGGAAAGATGAAAGGGGCTGTATATTTGCTACTTAAGTCTCTCTGAGCTACAGTTTCCCCATTGGCAAAACAGAGACAACACTACCCACTGCTGCTGAGTCGATTCCAACTTCTAGCATCCACAGAGTGGAACTGCTCCACAGGATAAATCTTTCCAGAAGCAGACTGCCTCATCTTCCTCCCACAGAGACTGGTGGGTTTGAACTGCCACCCTTCTGGTTAGCAGTCCAAAACTTAACCCACAGTGCCACCTGGGCTCCTGAGTCAATAACAGTAACAGTTAATACTTACTCATTGAGCATTTACTATATAGCAGTTACTACTTAAAAGCACTCTGCATGTACTAAGTCATCAATTCTCACTATGACCCCAATGAGAGAGTTACAATTATTCTCCATTTTACAGGTGAGAAAACTGAGGCCCCAAGAGTTTAAGTAATAACTTAAGAGTTAGCAAGGGTTAAGCGTTCCTGTCTCTTTAAAAAGATGTAGCTAGGCAGAGCTATCAGGCCCAGCCGGTTGATGCTCATTAAATGGCAGTCATTATTAGGAAGGAAAGAATCCTGGCGGGGTTCCTTGAGTGAATGACCTGTCTGCACCTATGTATGAGTAGAAACTGGGTCCTGTTCATCTCTGTGCCCCCATGCCTAGCTTATTACTAGTAATACTATCCTATCACGGAAGCTTCCTAAGGACCAGCTCCACAAGGGAAGGAAGGGAGAGCAAAGGTACACAGACCCAGCAGGTACTCCCTGGCACGGCTGGAGCTGCATTCACTATAGCCAAAGTCATGAAGCACCTGCCAGGTGCCAGGTTTTTTGCTTGCTGTTGCTGAAGCAGAACAGTTTGCATTTTCCCCTCCCTGAGAGAAGTCTCTAACAGCAGGAACTGCTTGCTGGCTACCTGTATTTTTTATAGGTCAAGCACAAAGGCCATGAAAGCTTCAACAGAGACCCGGGTACAAGCATTATTTTATCAGCCCCATGGCAAAGCCTGACAAAGAAGAACCATCCCAAATAATTAAGCTATAAAGTTCCTATTTGTCCCTAGGAACAGAGAACTAAATGGCATTCATATCTCAAACCCTGAGCATATCCCTGATTCCCTACACTCCCCTCATATAGGAACCAGGCAGGAGCCAATGCTGGCTTCTTGTTTTCATTGTTGTTTCATTGGTGTTGAATTGATTCCAATTCATGGGGAGCCTCATGTGTGCAGAGCAGAATTACTCTAAAGGGCTTTCAAGGTTGTGACCTTTCAGAAATAGACTGCCAGACCCAGCTTCCAAGGTGCCTTTGGGTCAGTTTGAACACTCAACCTTTCAGCTAATGAGCAATCACTTGCAAAACACAGAGAGTCCCAAGTGTCTACAAAGTAATCTCTAAATTTGGCACGTTGCCAGGTGCTGGGGGGGAAGTGGGAAGGGAAAGGAATTTCCCAATAAGCTAGAAAAGCCAAGTCAGGTATATGTTCTAGACTGAATTATTTCCCCAAAATACGTTGTATACCCTAAAATCTGTGACTATGATTTCTCATGTGGGAATGGGTTATGCTATTCAAACATGCAATCCAGATACTTTGGTAATTACTGGTGACTGGAATGCAAAGGTTGAAAACAAAGAGGAAGGATCAGTGGTTGGAAATACGGTCTTCAGAAACTGTACTGCAGACCTCATGACAGAATTTTGCAAGACCACTGACTGATTCAGAAGAGGATGTAGAACAAAGGATATATCATTGCTGACAACAGATGGATCTTGGCTGAAAGCAGATAATACCAGAAAGATGTTTACTTGTGTTTTATTGACTGAACAAAGGCTTTCAACTGTGTGGATCATGACAAGCTATGGACAACACTTCAGAGGATGAGTATTCTTGAACATTTAATTTTGCTCATGAGGAACCTGTACATAGACCAAGCAGCAGTCATTTGAATAAAACAAGGAGACACCAAATGTTTTAAAATGAGGAAAGGTGTGAACCAGGGTTGCATTCTTTCACCGTATTTATTCAATCTGTATGCTGAGCAAATAATCTGAGAAGCTGGAGTCTATGAAGAAGAATGTGGCATCAGGTTTCCTGGGAGAGTGATTAGCAACCTAAGATATGCAGATGATACAACCTTGCTTGCTTAAAGCAGAGGGCTTAAAATAGTTACTGATGAAGATCAAGGACCACATCCTTCAGTCTGGGTTGTACCTCAATGCAAAGAAATCAAAAATCCCCACCACTGGACGAGTAACATCATGATAAATGGAGAAAAGATTGGAGTTCTCAAAGACTTAATTTTTCTTGGCTCTGCTATCAACACTTATGGAAACAGCAGTCAAGAAATCAAGCTGTTCTGAGAACAAACAAGATGGCAGATCGGGTGGAAGTGCAGAGAGGAGTTCCGCCGGCAACAACACAGAATACAGGACCAAGGAGGCTCAGGGGATGCCCCAGAACTCTGAACCACATATAAAGGAATATTTAGAAGGTTGGAAGACTGACAGCTGGGAAGTTTGTGGCAGAAGCAAGAAATCCATTGCTTTCTGGTTCGGGA